TAATCAGTGTCACAAAACAAAACATGTATGTGGTAGTTCAGTTTGTGTGTCAACTTGGGTGGGCCTGGCTGAGTGGCTGGGCAGCTGGATGTAGTATTCCCCATGATGAGGCTGGTAATCAACTCCATGGTGGGATCTACTGTGAGCAGCTGAGTAGCTGCCTTAGAGATATGGTCTGCTTTCTGTACATGAGAAGCCTTGAGAATGGTTTCTAGCTTATGGCATGCTTGAACCCTGAATATAGCTGCATCGTTGTTCAGCAGCCTGCCATGCTCTCCCGACCCTGGGACTTTCAATGGACTTGAATTAATAGTGTGCCACATGATTGGTAACATAAAGACTGTGCCTTTTTACTTGTCAACCTTGGGCTTGTCAGTCTCAGCAGCCAGCAGCTGTCTGAGGGAAGAAAAGGCTCTAGCGTCAGTGGCCGGGAGCAGGAGGCAGAGCTTAAGTCCAAGGTTTAGGGGTTTTCACCCAGCCCCTAGAGCCTGGCACTTTGAACTCGGACTTAAAGCCTTCAAACTGTAAGAGAATAAACTCCTGTTTGTTAAAGCCATCCAATTTGTGGTATATTCCTGTCAGAGTGTGACTAGGTAACCAGAACAAGGGCCTTCCCCTTTTTTGTTGACCCTCCATTTTACCAAGTATGATATCCTCCTCCAGGAGTGGTCCCTTCTGATAACATGACCAAAGGAGGTGAGGCGAAGCCTGGCCATTCTTGCTTTCAAGGAGCATTCTGGCTGCACCTCTTCTAAGACTGATTTGTTACTTCTTTTAACAGTCCATGGTACTTTCAGTATTCTTTGCCAACACCACAACTCAAAAGCATCAACTCTTCTTTGGCCTTCCTTATGCATTGTCCAGCTCTCACAACATGCATAAGAGGCAACTGCAAATACCATGGCTTGAGTTAGGTGCACCTTAGTCTTCAAGGAGGTGTCCTTGCTCTTCAGCATTTGAAAGAGGTCCTTTTCAGCCAACTTGCCCAATGCAGTATGTTGTCTGATGTCTTAACTGCTGCTTCCATTGGTGTTGATTGCAGAACCAAGTAACATGAAGTCTTTGATAACTTCAATCTTTGCTCCATTTATTGTGATGCTACTTATTGGTCCCATTGTGAGGATTTTTGTTTTCTTTATATTGAGGAAAAATCCATACTGCAGACTGTAGTCTTCAATTTCATCCTCACTTAAAGTCATCCTCACTTTTCAGCAAGCAAACTTGTATTGTCTGTGTATCGCAGGTTGTTAATGAGTCTTCTTCTAATCCTGATGCCATGTTCTTCTTCATATAGTCCAGCTTCTTAGATTATTTGCTCAACATACAGATCAAATAAGTGTGGTGAAAGGATAAAACCCTGATGCACTCCCTTCCTGATTTTAAACCATGCAGTATCCCCTTGTTCTGTTCGAACAACAGCCTCCTGGTCAATGTACAGGTTCCTCATTGAGTACAGTTCTGGAATTCCCATTCGTCTCAATGTTATCCATAGTTTGTTATGATACACACAATTGAATGTTTTTGCATAGTTAATAAAACACAAGTAAACATCTTTCTGGTATTCTTTGCTTCCAGGCAAGATCCATCTGACATTAGCTATGATATCCCTTGTTCTGCATCCTCTTCTGAATCCAGCTTGCATTTCTGGAAATTCTCTGTCAATACACTGCTGCAACCATTTTTGAATTATCTTCAGTAAGATTTTACTTGCATGTGATATTAATAATATTGTTTGGTAATTTCCATGTTCTGCGGGATCACCTTTCTTTGGAATGGGTACAAATATGGATCTCTTCCAGTCAGTTGGCCAGGTAGCTGTCTTCCAAATCTCTTGGCACAGCTGAAGTGAGTGCCTCTAGCACTCAGATGGCATCTGTTGGTCAAAACATCTCAATGTGTATTCCGTCAATTCCTGGAACTTTGTTTTTTCGCCAATTCCTTCAGTACAGCTTTGACTTCTTTCTTCAGTACCACTGGTTCTTGATCGTATGCCACCTCCAGAAATGGATGAACATTGACCAATTTTTTTTGGTACATTGACTGTGTATTCCTTCCATCTTCTTTTGATGCTTCCTGCATCATTCAATATATTGCCCATAGAATCTTTCAATATTGCAACTCAAAGCGTAAATTTTTTCTTCAATTCTTTCAGCTTGAGAAATGCCAAGCATGTTCTTCCCTTTTGGTTTTCTAACTCCAGGTCTTTGCACATTTCATTGTAATGATGACTTATAATTATATAAGTTATTTAATTATATAACTATAATTATATAAAATTATTATAATAATTAACTTTGTCTTCTTGAGCTGCTCTTTGAAATCTTTTGCTCAGCTCTTCTATCTTGTCATTTCTTTCATTTGCTTTAGTTACTCTCTATTCAAGGGCAAGCTTCAGAGTCTCTTCTGACATACATTTTGGTCTTTCTTCCCTCCTTGTTTTTAATGACCTTTTGCTTTCTTCATGGATGATGTTCTTGTTGTCATCCCACAATTCCTCTGATTTTCAGTCATTGGTGTTAAATGCATCAAATCTATTACTTAGGTGGTCTCTAAATTTAGGAAATATATAACCAAGGTCATATTTTGGCTCCCATGGACTTGTGTTAACTGTCTTCAACTTCAACTTCGACTTGCATATAAGCAGTTGATGGTCTGTTCCACAATCAGCTCCTGGCTTTATTTTGGCCAGGAGGCCTTGTTTTGGCCAGGAGAAGATAATCAAGATTCTCTGTCACCTCTTGCCACAGATGTAGTAAGTCTGATTCCTGTGTACTCCATCTGGCAAAGTGTACATGTATAGCCGCTGTTTGTGTTGCTGAAAAAAGGTATTTGCAATGAATAAGTCATTGGTCTTGCAAAATTCTATCAGGTGATCTCCAGTGTTATTTCTATCACCAAGGCTGTATTTTTCAACTACTGGTGATTTTTTTGTTTCCAACTTTTGCATTCCAATCACCAGTGATAATCAACACATCTTGATTGCATGTTCTATCAATTTCAGACTGCAGAAGTTGGTAAAAATCTTCAATTTCCTCATCTTTGGCTTAGGTGTTTGGTGGTAAATTTGAATAATAGTAGCATTAATTGGTCTTCCTTATAGGAGTATGGATATTATCCTATCATTGACAACATTGTGTTTCAGGATAGATCTTGAAACATTCATTGGATGATGACACACCATTCCTCTTCAATTTGTCATTCCTGGCATAGTAGATCATATGGTTTTCTGATTCAAAATGGCCAAAACCAGTCCATTTCAGCTCACTAATGCCTAGTGTGTAGCGCCTAAGGAATGTGATTGTTAACCAGAAGACTGGCAGTTCAAACCCACCAGCCACTCCTCAGAAGAAAGACTAGGCAATCTACTTTCATAGAGATACCACACCTCAGAAACCCAAGGAGGGGTCACTATGAGTTGGATTCGACTTGCCAGCAGTGAGTAATGCCTAGGATATTGATCTTTATGCATTCCATTTCATTTTTGACAACTTCCAATTTTCTAGATTCATACTTTGTACATTCCACATTCCAATTATTAATGAATGTTTGCAGCTATTTCTTCTTATTTTAAGTCATGCCACATCAGCAAATGGAGGTCCCAAAAACTTTCCTCTATCCATATCATTAAGGTCAGCTCTACTCTGAGGAGGCAGCTCTTCCGTAGTCCTTATCTTGAGTGCCCTCCAACCTGAGGAACTCATCTTCTGGCACTGTATAGGGCAATGTTTCAGGGCCATTCAAAAAGTTTTGCAGTAGTACATCAGACAGTGTTTCACTGCTGTTCATAAGGTTTTCACTGGCAAATTCTTTGAGAAGTGGATGGCCTCTTCCTTCTTCCAAGTCTGTCTTATTCTGGAAGCTCTGCTGAAACCTGTCTACCACAGGTAACCCTGCTGGCATTTGAAACACCAATGGCATAACCTCCAGTCTCACAGCAACACACAAGCCACCACAGTATGACAAACTGACAGACAAGTTCATCTCTCTTAGCTGTTCCAAACCACTCTGCTCATTTCCTGGTCTCTTAGCTGTTCCAAACCACTCCACTTACTTACACACACACACACACACACACACATTAAAAAGAACATGAAGATTACTATTTAAATAGAAAATGTAATTTTAGTCATCAAATCTATGAGTATTTGAAATGTTTTGCTCTATTTAAGCTTGTAATTGCAAACAGAAAATATGAAAATGTATTTCAGCAGCAATTTTTAAATTCTAACTTTCTGTACATATAAATAGAAAGAATCTAGAAGTTTCCAATTGACCAATTCTTATTTACTGAGTTCCAGATATTTACATTTCAATTGCAGAGATATATCTTTGTAGAAATCCCTGTGGATTTGTTATCATCAAACTAGAGTTCCAAAGGTTTATAAAACAATAGAAATAAAATAGGCAAGTAGGAAAATGGTTAAGATATATAAATATTCTTTTTTTTTTTTTTAAGGGAGGGAGTGACTTCAGTACATTTGTAACCTCTCAGCTTTGCTCTCACACAAGACTTATGAAAATATATTGTAGCTGCTCAAGACTTCTGAGACAGAAATTAACCTAAGATTTGAAGGTCCAAGTAGTTACATAGAAGATCAGAGTTGCCTAGTTCAATAAAGATAAAGGATGAAAAATTACACCATAGCTTTGGCTGCTATTTTAAAGTAGGGGGGAAAGGTGGTATATGGGATAGAAAGGATATTTCCTTGCCTGCTTTAAGATATGGGAAGGAATTTTTTTTTTTAAAGGAAAAATGATGGTTTAAGTTTGGCTTATAACAATAATCCTCTGGTGCTAAAAGTTTTGGTAGCACAGTGGAATTCAAACAGCTAACATTTATTGTTAATGGATTCAGCTATATAAAAGATAGGTCCCACTTACATAAGTTATTTATATACCACAAGTATTAGTCATATCCTATCATTATAGATATATTCTGTTAAAACTCTTCTTCACATTCCCACAGAATCTTCTAATTTTCTTCAAAGTAAAGAACTTACAGTCAAAGAGTTTTCACCATCATCATGTCCTCTATGATTATGAGCTCTTCCTCTACCATTGGTGATGCTGCACAAATCTCTCCCAAAAGGTTCAGAAAAACTTCTCATCATGTGTCGCATACTTTCTTGGTGTGCCATAAAAGAATCACTATGGAAAATATATACAATCACATAAGATTATGTGGCAAAATTTAAATAATGAGCTGGCAGCTAAATACTACAAAGAATTATTTTGGGGTTAATACGCTTGTTAAGCTAGTTTAGGAGAAAAGATTGATCTCATGAAGAATTGCTACCCATAAATATGAATATGAATTTAAGAAAAATTGTTCTGTTAGCCATTATAATTCACTTACATATAATAATGAAAAGATTTCATTATTGAGTCATTACTGTACAAAAATGGCGAGTTCAAAATAATCTCAGGTGACTTATACCAGCATTACAGGAAATGCCAAAAAAAAAAAAAAAAGGAATCTGAAAAATGTTGCTTCTGAGTAAAGGTCACTTTGGGCAGTAAAATTCCAGTGAGGACAAATAAAGAATTGCGGTTTGTTTGCTTGTTTTTCATTTTTTTTTTAAATGAGAATTAAGAATTCCAGTTATGTAATGAAAACTTAAAACTACAACATACAGTATGTCCTTGGGTTATTAAAGTTCACCTTTCAGACAACAGGTACTTGCCCTTCTATATTATGTAAATTTGCCCTCACTTTGAAACAACTAAGGAGCTCTGGTGGCTCAATGGTTAAGGCATTTGGCTGCTAACCAAAAGGTCAGTGGTTTGAATCCATGAGATGCTCTGTGGAAGAAAGATGAGGCAGTCTGCTTTCATAAAGATTTACAGCCTTGGGAACCATATGGGGGTTGCTATTAGTTTGAATCAATTCCATGACAGTGGGTTTCGTTAGGTTTTTGTCTGAAGCAACTGAACTTGCAAACAAACTCATAATCACAATCATTTTCACCTGATGCATGTGCAGCTTTTAAATAATTGAAAAGGCTTCAAGTCTTTTCTTGCACTAAAGTAAGGCTAAGACAAAGCTTCATATCACCTCTAAAAGGAACTTTTAGGGAAGAACTCTAAATACTAGAAATCACCAGATGATAAAGTATCTGCAAAATCTTAAGACAGTGGTTCTCATTAACTTTTTTGAGATTACCAATCAACTAGTAAACTGGATAGAAATGCTGATTCCTTGCTCCCCACCATTCCCACTCCTAGAGATGGGATTCATCTGTCCTAAGCAGGGTGGATAAAGCATCCCTGGTGATCTTGATTCAAGTAGCCCCCCACCAACCTTTAAGGAATACTACTACTTCTGTAGTTGTAGTTTATGATTTAATTAGAACTCAAACCTCCCTTTCTGAACCTAAGTTTCCATAGCTATAAAATGAGGATAATACTGTATATCCCTATGTTGTTGTTATTGTCGTTAGGTGCTGTTGAGTCAGCTCTGACTCACAGTGACCCGATGTACAACAGAATGAAATAATGCACGGTCCTGTGCCACCCTCACAAACTTTTTAGCTTTTTAGCCCATTGTCACAACCACTGTGTCAATCTATCATATTGTGGATCTTCCCCTTCTTCACTGACCCTCTACTCTTAGCAACCATGGTATCTTTCTCCAGGGACTGGTCCCTTCTGACAACATGACCAAAGCACGTAAGATGAAGTCTGGCCATTCTTGCTTCTAAGGAGCACTCTGGCTGTACTTCTCCCAAGACAGATTTGTTTGCTCTTCTGGCAGTCCATATTATTTTCAGTATTCTTCTCCAATACCATAATTCAAATGCATCAATCTTTCTTTCGATCTTCCTTATTCACTGCCCAGCCTTCACACGCACATGAGGCTACTAAAAATACCATGGCTGGGGTCAGGCATATCTTATTCTTCGAAGTGACATCTTTGCTCTTTAACACCTTAAAAAGGTCTCTTGCAGCAGATATGCCCACTGCAATACATCATCTGATTTCTTGACTGCTGCTTCCATAAGTGGTGACTGTGAATCCAATCTTGTCTCTTTATCATGATGTTGCTTATTGGTCCAGCTCCAAGGATTTTTATTTTCTTTATGCTGAAGTATAATCCATACTGAAGGCTGTAGTCTTTGATGTTCACTTCACTTTCAGCAAGCAAGGTTGTGTCATCTGCCTAATGCAGGTTGTTAATGAGCCCTCCTCCAATCCTGAGGCCATGTTCTTCTTCATATAGTTCAGCCTCTTGGATTATTTTCTCAGCATACATTTTGAATAAGTATGATGAAAGGATACAATCCTGACACACACCTTTGCTGATGTTCAACAATTCAGTATCCCCTTGTTCTATTTTTTGGTTTATGTACAGGTGCTGCATGAGCATAACTAAGCGTTCTAGAATTCCCATTCTTTGCCATTATTATCCATAATTTATTATGCTCCACACAGTCAAATGCCTTTACATAGTCAATAAAACATAGATACACATCTTTCTGGTATTCTCTGCTTTCAGCTAAAAGCCATCTGACATCACCAATGATATCCCTCATTCCATGCTCTTCTGAATCCAACTTAAATATCTGGCAGTTCCCTATCAATGTACTGCTACAACCCTTTTTAAATTATCTTCAGCAAAATTTTGCTTGTGTGATATTAATGATATTGTTTGATAATTTCCACATTCTGTTGGATCATCTTTCTTTGGAATGGGCACAAATACCAGTATCAATCTCTTCCGGTCAGTTGGCCTGGTAGCTGTCTTCCAGATTTCTTGACATGGACAAGTAAGTGCTTCTGGTGTCACATCCACTTTATGAAACATCTCAGTTAGTATTCTGTCGACTCCTGTAGCCTTGTTTTTCGTCAATGCCTTCAATGAAGCTTAAACTTCTTCCTTCAGTACCAGCGGTCTTCATCATGTGCTAATTCCTAAAACAGCTGAACACTGACCAATTCTTTTTGTACAGTGACTCTATATTCCTTACATTTTCTTTTGATGCTCCCTGCATCATTCCATTTTTTTTCCCATGGAATCCTTCAGTAATACAATTTGAGGCCTGAATTTTTTCTTCAGATCTTTTAACCAGAGAAATGCTGATTATGTTTTTCCCTTTTAGTTTTATAACTCCAGGTCTTTGTACATTTCATCATAATTCTTTACCAAGTCTTCTCAAGCTAACCTTTGAAATCTGTTCAGCTCTTTTACTTCATCATTTCTTATGTTCTCTTCAGCTACTCTGTACTTAAGAGCAAGTTTCACAGTATCTTCTGACATCCATGTTGGTCTTTTCTTTCTTTCCTATCTTTTTAATGATTTTTATTTTCTCCGTGTATGAGGACATACATGACGTCTTCCCACAATTCTTCTGGTTTTTGATCATTAGTGTTCAGTGTGTCAAAACTGTTCATGAAATGGTCTCCAAATTCAGGCGGGATGTATTCAATCTAAACCCAATCTAAAGGATTCTGTTTTGGGAAAAAACTAATGTGGTTAACTTTAGAGTACTATTTTGCAGTTCAGAAACATGACTTCTGAGCAGCAGAATTTTACCACAAGTAAAGAACTAAGTCTCAATAGTTCCAGAAATCATAATCTAGCCTTCTATTGAGAAAGCAGTTCCATTTTTCAAGTATACTTAACAATATTACAGAGTATTCTTTAATAAATATAATAGGAGAGCTTTGACAGATCTGTTTATTCTTGTGCAGTATCAATTGTTTTAAAGGAAGCTATTAAGTAGAAAAAGAAGTATAATTGTGAATGACTTAAGTAAATAACAGGTCCTCTCTGCATACCTGATCTACATGATAAATTCCAACTGCATTAGGATCTCTGCTAGTCTGGATGACTGATAACTACTTTACAATGCAAATGTTCAACTGCTTGACTAATAATTTATGTCCTAAAAAACTACCACATAAGACAGTACTCTTCCTCATTTGCTCTTCTGTCATAACTCTCTTTTATCTTCTACGTACCTATCTACGTGGAAATGCTACTCTACTTTCCAGCCTTCTGCTCACTGATTACACAAAGTTATACAAGGAGAGTGTTTCCTAATGTGTGCAGGTTGAGGACATGCTTAATGCAACAGACTGTAAAAATGTCAACAAGAGTCCAGAAATTAAACTTAGGCCACTGTTCTCAACCAAATTAGTAAATGGATCTCTCAGAATAAAAAGATTCTCTTTAGTTTAATTTTGTATATTAACTGGAAATTTGTTGCTGTTGTACTAAATTCACTTATGAAATGTAATAAAATGAAGACACCAGAGCATTAGGTTTATTCAGATATTATGGTTACTTAATCCATTCCAATTAAAAACAGACTATAACATATTAAGGAACAAATAGGTAAAAATGCACACAAAATCATGAATGTTTCATATTTTCCATGAATTCTTATAAATTTTTATTTTTTTGTTTATTGACAGGAATAAGGAACCAGAAAATTTAACAGACCACTTCTAGTTTCTGTACTTGTTAAAAGTTTCAGAAGCATTATTCTCACAGAATCATAGGCAACTAGCATTGTAAGGAAGTTTTGACAATTTAAAAATTAAATAAATCAGTAGCACATACTAAGCAGCCTGTGAAGGGAGTTATTTTATGCTTTTTCAAATCAAGCTCTGATGTCAAAATTATTTTAAAATTGAGGAATTAGAAATCTGTGTATCTATCTCCTTACTTTATATTTGAAGGAATAGTTTCAAATTGTTCAAGGACTCATCATATATGTGTCCAAGGAATAATTTCTCTCTAATTCTAACCTCTTAAAGCAAATTATTCCAAATGATATCCAATGCCATCTAATATTGTTAGATGAAAATAGCACTGTGAAACAGCACTGTGGTTATGTAATACAATAATAACATATTTTTCAGAGATGTTATTTGAAAATACACAGGGGTGAGTGAGATGGTAAGTCTAGAATTTGCCTTCACATCAAAGACAGCAGCAGCAATAAGGATAGACAATGCAGGTATAATTTTGAAATTTGGGTGATGGGTGAGTACAGTGTTTTACAGTTCTACTTTTGTAGTATGCTTGAAATATTTGATAATAAAAATGTTGAAGAATAAAGAAACAGAACTACATGGAGCTGGAAAATTTCATTCTACATGTTTGATTCAAAAGGGAGTCCTTTTGCTTAGAATTCAAAAGG